ATAGGAATCTGAACTTTCATCCTATGGGCTGTTGTGGTCGAACTTATCTTTTTCTGTCGTGTTTAGATAAAAACCCAACGGATAACGTACCTATACTTGATTATTAACTTCCCGTAGGGTAAAGTTATTGTAATCGTCCAAAAATCGAAATTGAAAATTTTTACATTTCCTCACGTTTTGAAGGTTTCTTAAGATTTTGGCATACCTTAGAAATATGGATGTGTGTGTGTATGTGTATGTATGTATGGATACGATTTTTCGACCACGTTTTCAGGCGCACGGATCATCCGATTTGAATAGTTCAAAGAACATTCGATTTCTATTGATAGAGAGATGTGCTGATTAGTTTTTGGACAAAGGCAGGTCCAGCCGTTACGGAGATACAGAGCAAAGAGTGCAGAAAATAGAAATAGAGTTTTTGAGAGAACGGCATCCGATTTAAATGATCTAAAAAAAACATTCAATTCGTAATGATGGGGAGAAGTGGTGATTAGTTTTTGGCAAAGATAGGTCCAGCCGTTTCGAAGATACGGAGCTAAATGTACAAAAAACGGCAATTTTTGAGATAACTGAGCATCCGGTTTGAATGATTCAAAAAACTTTCTCCTTGTGTTGACGAAATAATTGCTTCAGGCGAAAGAATTTTTTTTGTTTTTTTTTTTTAATTTAAAAAAAATATTTTTGTCAATACATAAGCTCTTATTTTACATCTAAAAATTTAATTAACATTAATGAAAGTTACAGTATTTATAATAATCTATTTGAAAACATTTAATATTCCTTGGATATTTCATTAAGGTACCAGAAGTACCAGCAATTTGCTTTAAAGCACGATACCATACACAACTAGTTTTATTATTAAACTTGATCAAACATTTGTCATATCATATTTTATTAGATGCAGCAATGCACCAGAAGGTATATTTTCACTTAAAACATATTTTATTGCTGTATTTCCAAGTGACAAAGGAAATCGCTACTGCTCGGTATCAAGTTATGCGTCTCCGTTATCCGATATTATTCCCAATAGAACCCCATATTAGATTGATTAATAAATTTAGATCGATTTTGAATTTTGTTAGGTTTAAATGCAAGTATGTAAAAATAAAAGTTAGTCAAATATACAAATAAAATGGTACTTCCAAAGTAGCTTCAAGAGCACCAATACATTCTTCATTACCGACTGATTATTACAATGTAGCATTAAAGTAACAAATTACTTATTTTTTCTTACTTGGTTTCAATAAGAGAATGAGCGTTTCTATTCCATAACGAAATCTGTACTTGTCCAGAAAGATCAACAGAAGTTCCTCCCACAAGAGATAGTTCAGCTATGACGCCAGTTTGTAATGGTAGAGTTTCCTGGTGGTCGTATAACAAACTGGCAGCCTAAAAATAATAACCATACAAATAATAAAAATTTGGTCATTGAAATAAATTTATGACAAATTAAGCAACTAAAACATGTGTCTAGTATCACCTGATAAGCTGGTGTCTTGTCCGAGCCAGTTCCAGACCAAACGTGCCCCATGAGTTCACCTTGTCCAGTAAAGAATGCAAATGGTCTAATGGTTACGCCATGGACAGTTATTTCCATTCCAGCAGTTGCATCTTCTTGCTCTTCCTCTTTGTCTTCGCCAGACGCCGTGGTGTCCGATACGAAACTCCCAATCCACCTAAAATAATAATTTATAGATAAGTAATAGAATTGTTTCAATAGTATTAGAACTTAAGTATTAATTGATAATAAAGAAGTTTTCTATTATCAGTTTAAAAGCAGAGCATTTTGGAAATCAGGAAATTGTGTGGATATTTAGACATATTAATTTTTGCTATGAAAATGTTTAATAATCAAAATTTCAATCTTATTATTATATATAGTATTAAAAAGTTTCGAAAATTTCATACGCCCATCTAAAATCTTTTTTTTTATACTTTAGCGATATGCCCAGTAGAGTTACTAAACGTACCAGGCACAACAACATATTGCAAAACTTTCCAATCATTATCTATTCTATTTTAATTATGGCAAAACTGACCATTACATAAAATGGATGAGCATATTTCTAATTGAAATTCATGGAATAATTACTATTACTATTGAACTAAATAAGTTGTTTCAACCAATTTCTTAAAAAGTTTGTGGAAAAGTCTAAACATAGATTCCAATTATGATCTAATTAAGAACCTTTGAGCTGAATTTATTGCAACTATTAAGAATGAAACTTACACTCATAATGTTGTGTAATTTGTTGTCTTCGCCATATTGTACATTAAAATCTACAACACCACGTTTGAGCATGCCTCCATTCATTTCTTGTACAGTCGCTAACTGTGTACTTGATGTATTAGAGCTTGCATACACTCGAGAAAACGCAGTGGATAAACCTTCAACAATATAAAAAATAATGTATTATTACATGCCACAATTTTTAAATATTTTATAATATTTATTTGGATTATGAACCTTTCTGTCCAAGAACATTATAATTATTAACACGCCTAGATTGCCGCAACAATTTGTTTACCCTATTTTCAAAGATTTCGGATTTGTCTGACTCGTGTCGCAATCTCTGCAAAACGTATTGTTTGACCTGAAATAAGAAAACAAATACTAAAATATTAGTTCAGAAAAAAATATAGTAAAGCAGTAATTAATAAAATTGCAAACCTCGAAAGCTTTATCTGGACTCCTCAAATAATCTAAAACATCTTTCAGCAGCTCATCTTTAATGCCTGCATCCAACAAAATGTCCAAAGCTAACGTTCTTGCGCTTGAATCAAATTTCTTCGTAATCTGGAAAAATATTTGAATGCAAGCCTTCTGTACAGTGTCGTACTGTAAAACTCTCTGAGGAAAGTTTTTCAAAGCTTTCATAGCTGTGACAGAAACAGGTTTGCTGCCTTTTGTGGCATGTTGGAGAAGGCTTTTCACTGTCGCAGGATCTTGCAAATTTCTCATTGCTCGAATGTAAACAAGACGACATTCATCATTCTGACATGCTTTGAGATTTTGACTAATATGTGTAGATACTTGTTGCACCAACTAAAATAAACAATATGGATAATGGAGATTTTAGATGCCAACTATATTATAAAATGGTTTAGATAACGGTTTAAACTGTTTAAAGAGTAAATAGAAGTTTTTTTTCTTGATTTGATATGTTTTTCCATTGTTTTTCGTCATATAAAATACACTGAATTAGGTAATTAGTATGGTATTTATTTATGAACACAAATGTAATTTAAACCTAGTAACATCTCTTTATAGATCACTTAACTATTTCATGTTTTTATATGTAAATACCACAATTGATGTGAAATATGATGCGGCTTCTAACATTTTTCTTCATCCTTTAAATAAGATATAAATATATTTTTATACAGATTGATTTAAACTGTTCACCTTATCTTCATAGCTGCGTCCAGGTAATTTTGCTAAATTTTTGGCCATTGCTGCCATAGTTTGAAGAAGTGTATCGGTCAATTTGTGATCCCTAGTTTTGTTCGCTTTCTTCTGCACCATTCTCAATATGTCTGCTAAAACTTCAGGTGATGGATGAGCACCCATAGATAAAGCCCAAAGATAACGTTCCCAGTTGTCAAGATCATGATCATTATCTAAGTCTAAGAAACGTTTGATGGCCTCATGGGATGATGATGTTTGGGCAAATCCACAAAGATCACAAAGTTGAGTTCTATAAAATGAGAAAGAATTCAGTTATACATTTTCCTATCAATAATTAAAATTACAAATTGCTGTAAAGGATTGTTAATAACATCAATATCCAAAATTTAAATATTTTATAAGCAGCTTTCAAAAGATCCGTTCATTTAAATATATCTACACTTCGGTGAATGAATTATTTCTTTCATACTTACATAATTTCTGCGTTTTTCAGCGAATCGAGAACTGATAATATTTGATCAGTAGTAGCCGCTCTGACCGCTGGAATAATCTTCACAAATGCTGTAGCAGCACGAGCTCCTCCAATCGATTCCTGCTTCAAACTGTTCCGATGTTCTGATACCAACCGTTCCATCTAATAAGACAATGAATTACACATCCTCTAATACACCTACTATCTCAAATATACTTAATATTTAGTTGTCAGCATATTTACCGTAGGACATTGTTCATCTTGGCAAAGAGCCGGTTCCTTCTCAGCGCGCAGTGTTCTACTTGCAACATTTTTCAATTGATTAACGGCATCTTGTAAATTGATGCTCTTAATTGGTGACATTTTCACCTTTTTGTCTTCCAGAACGAGTTCAATTTTCGTACGGACATTGGCACCTAAAATGCAATGGGGAATATGGAATTTTATAAAATATAATCATCATGTAGCATCATCAGCAGTTTATTTCTCACCTGCATCGCGTTTCAAAACCAATTCCAATTCGTGAACTTCATCAGCAATAATTGACTCCAAAAGACCTTCTTGATTTGTCTTATATTCGACTCCTCTTTGAGAATGTGTATGCACAGATAGGGCTTCATCAGGCCTCTCTCTTTTATTTTGATGGCTAATTAAGCAACGTTTTTTGGACTTCTTGACTCCTGAATGAGGGCCTGATGTCGTATAAGAAGCTAGACAATCGCCAGAAACATCAGATTCCATATGATCGCCATCTAGAAGTTGGAACTATAAAACATGGCATATGTGTTATTACTTTTTAAAAAATCGGAATGCAAATATAAAAAAGTGGTCTGTTTCCTTATCTAACTATTATCATTTGTAAAGGTATCATGCTGAATTTTATTGAAACTGGGAGAAAACAATATTAAATGTTTAAAACCTATGCTGTTAATTACAGAGAATCAAAATATAGGTAATATTTTTTTACCAACCTGGAAAAGACTGACAAGTCCTCTCTTGAAATTTATCATGGATAACGGCTCATCGGGATCCACGTACATATGTTCTATTTTTCCATTGGACCACGTGACGTAAAATACCTTGTTTTTGGCACTTTCAATTCTTGAACTGTGTTCCACAAAACCTTCAGGAGCTGGTGCTTTCCGAGATTTTACGTGTAATTTCGGATACAGCAACTAGATAATCAAAATATATAGGTATTGTCATAATAAATAAGATCTTTTATGAAATGATTTGTAATTCCAACGGAAAACTCACGTTGTTTTCAGAAGTTGGAATAACATAATTTCATATTTTTTACCTCAAATCTTAACATTTTGTCACCATTTCCACCATCCCAAATGGCTCCAACGTTCAATCTGCCGGTTATCCTATAGCCAACATCTCCACCAGCACGTATCGACCTGGGTTCATTCACCAGAACTGTGCTCTGGATTCGATATCCTACTCCTGCACTCATCGGGAAAGGGTCTGGCCTGGAGAGTCCATTTGCTAAATTAAGACAAGAAGATGCCAGTAGTTGATAATGAAAGAAATATTAAAGTTTCCTATATTAATTAAATAATTACTATTAGATTCTTTTATGTTATCATTCTGTCTACTCCCAATTTTTTTACTATCCTACTAAACATTGCAATTATTTTAGTTATACGAGAATAAGATTGTAATAAATAATATTTGTAAATTGATGAAAAATACAGATATTATATCAATTACAACCTTATAAATTTTAAAATCTATCGTATGTAAAGTTATGCTCCTATATCTATACACAACTAATTAAAATTTTTCGAGGGATGAAAACGGAAGTGGTGTTTTTGCTAATGTTTTATTTGTTAATTTAATAAAATAATAATTTAGAGTATGAATAATAAGAAAAATAGAGCAATCCAAAAAATAATCTCTTACTTTGAGAAAGTAAAAATACTTATTTGTGTTTTCCATCTTTTTATTCTGACAAACTGAATATCAGATATCAGATCAGATCATCAGTTTTAAATATCAATCATAATACATTCAATTTACATCGAAGTAATCTAATATCCAAAGTTAAATTTTAAATAAAAAATCGTGCAACTTTCTACTTGGAAAAATGGTATCCAATAATACAACTATTATGGATTTTATATTATTTTAAATAAATAAATTTCATCATTTCCATTGAGGCCAGTGGTAAAAATGTACCATTTGGGGCATTATTAGTACTAGTAGCAGGGCTGAATACTACTGGCAGTATCAGCAAAATTTACAACCTATTTAGCTGAGTATATTTAAGAAAATCATTTCATTAACGTCACGAAGGAAAAGTTTATGTTTTCATCAAAAAATCCAAGTCGCTAATTTTATGTTTCCTCGATGTTTCAAGCCATTCTGAATTGAATGAGACCAAATTTGGAAAAAGTATTGTGTGTGTGTAAACAGATTTTTTGCCGTAAATCGACGTTTTCTGAAAAAAGACTGGACCGATTTCAAAAATTTAAAAGCCATTCGATGTGTCTCAATGAGGACTAGCGTTTATCAATTTTGCGTGACGATCAGCCAAGCCGTTTCTTTGTAAATTGCAGAAAAGTGAAAAACTTTTCGTCTACGTTTTAGCCCGTAATTCTGAAACGATTTTGAAAATTCAAAAACCGTTCGAAAGATATTGGTTGGGAATCGACCTGATTAATTTTTGGTAAAGATCAACCTATTCTTGTAATAAAGTGTTGAAAAAATTTTTTTCGACGATATTTATGAATTTTTTTTTGACGGTAGATACAATAGTCTTATAGATCATATAGACAAGTCGTTTAATTTTAAAAATTCTTCAATGTTTTAAAAAATTAGTATCGTTTTTTGGCATTTGTCAAAATTAGACCTTTCATCGACGTTTGCTCAAAAACGCCTGAACCGATTTCAGAAATTTAAAAGCCATTTGATGTATCTCAATGAGGACTATTGTTTGTCAGTTTTGTGCGACTATGTGCCAACCCATTTCTTAGTAATTTGGAAAAAAATGTTAAACTTTTCGTCCACATTTAAGCTCACTAACGAATCGATTTAAAAAAATCAAAAACTGTTCGAAAGATATTAGTTGATACTGATGATACTGATTAGTTTTAGGTGAAAATCTACCGAGCCATTTTCTTGTAATTAACGGTCGAAAAAAAATTTAAGCCGATTTTTATGAAACTTTTTTTTGACGATATATATCATGGTCTTATAGAACTTACTGAAATATTACGGCCTAACGACAAGTAGTTCAATTTTAAAAATTCATCAAACTTTGAGAAAATGAGTACTTTTTTGACGTTTGTTGAAATTAAAATTAGACGATTTACTTGGTATAACGATAGAGTACTTGATCTTAATGAACATACTAAATCATTAAAGTGCTGCAGAATCTGGTTCAATTATAAAAATTATTGATTTGTGGAAATTTGCTTTTAGAAAATACTCCGAGTTAACGTGTTCGTTCGTTTTCAATGATGTGTAATAAATCCACTCGAAATGCTTTTAATCACTCATAAATTAATTTATTCTTTATTGATTAAGCCGATTATTTAATCATATCGGGAAGTTCATGTAACTTGCCTCAAGGCAAAATACCAATACCAACTAGTTTATATATGTTATTATCAAAAGGTCATATAATAGCAAATTACTCGTGCTTTCCAATTAGTACTAATCAATGGACTAGTAAATTTAAATTTTAACTGAATATATAATAGTTTTTCGAATTACCAATTTGTTGTCAATGAATAACGACATCATTCAGTAATAATTTAGTGGTCATTAGTATAATTTATTCCTAGTTATCTTCTCAACACGCAATTAAAAAATACCCATTTCAAAACGCTTGATAAGTGAAATACATACATAATTATAATCGCATTTTAAAATGCAGTTCTCTAGTAAAAATTGAAAATTATTTCTAATTGTGGTGATAACGCATGGACCTTCAATAAACTTAGATTTCAGCAATAATTAAAGCAAATATGTAAAACTGATATGTTATTTATTTATTTGAATCGTCATTTGGTATTTCGAAAATAAGCAATGCACGTCGTGTTAAAGGGCTTATCTTGTTTGAAGTAAATGAAATTTAAATTGCAGTATTATTTGAACTCTACATTATTCTCACTATCAGTTTAAAATGCGTCGTAGGGTGAAGGTCAATAGATTACTTGCTTGCATTATCAAAATACACAATAATTACTCAGACCAGTATAATTCGCAAATATAAATGTCTTAAGTACATAATTTAATGTCTTAGGCAGTTCGAAACTAATTCAAAATATTACTGGTAAATATTTACGTTAAAGAATTAAGAATTACATGCAGATCAGCAATTGCCTGCACCAAGACAGATTCTGAAAAGAAAACTTTACCAAGAACTTGAACCTCGACTTTACCTCAAAGGTTTACCACCAACATCTCAAAAAACAATTTAAGTTGTAAAATTTTATACGCACAAATTTTAAAGTAGAGGGCAAAAGATTCGTAATCAGCCATTGCCAAATTGAGAGACTTCGCTACCACGATATAAACGACAACATTGTCATGTTTGTAAAGAAAGTATTTTTTCGTCGTTTTTGAGCATGGTTGTTCAGTTTACGATGCCTGAATATATTTTTTAAGTATACTTTATTTTATTATTTCATAAGTTGTATTATTATTATTAAGTTAGTTTCACCAGTTTTACTTCTACAGTCCATAGAATAGCTTACATGTGATTGGGGTAAAAAGGATCAACAAAATCTTTTACACTGTAGAGGTGTAAACCATAAGAAACTAGTAAATAAAGATGTAAAATCAGTTAAAAAAAAGCAATTTTACAAATGATAAATTAAATAAATATTTATCCTGACTCTGATGATGAACTTCTCTGACAAAGTTCCATATGAAGATGGTATAAAATGTGCCCATGATATATGTATTTCAAATAGTTGTTTTTATTTTATTTGAAATAATTGTATTTCAAGAAACAATAAGTCTGATTATGATAAATTAAACAGAAATACCTACTAAACCAATATTGGTGATAGTAGTAACAAACATCAAACAAACAACATGTTAAAAAATACATAATTATATTATGATTTTTAATTTTGTTGCTCAATCTACTAAGTAGACTGCATTGTGTCTATTAAATAATGTAACTATCATCCCATAAAACTCCTTTTAACTTAAAAAGAAGATGGATTTTTCGCCAAATCAATTTGGACCTTTGTGTCCTGCCCTATCCTATATACATATCAGAACTTAATAAGCCTTTGCCATTGCCTTGTCTGTTGATTTGTTGTTGACTTTTTATTGACGTGGGTAGATGGCAACCCAAACGGCTGTCTCATCTATATCAAATTATAGTTTTACTTCATGTGAAAAGTTTTCAGTCATGTGAAACGTTACCGAATATTCAAAAAATCAGTTATAGGTATTACTGATTTTATTTAATATATTGATTTCATAAAAGTTTTAATTATACTAAAATGTAATATAATTAAAGCAATATATTACCTTATGCTAATCACATCATGTAATTTCATGATTACTACTTATGGATTATCGAACTTGGTTCATTAAGAGTTTTAACATTGACTGTGGTCTCTAAATGTACAGTTATTTTCATAGTGTTCAATACGCTCGGTTAATATATATATATATATATATATATATATATATATATATCGTATATTTCATTCATATATTAAGTCATTCAATTTTAAAATTGTATGGAAATTTATTAAAAAAATCAACAGTGTATTGAATTTAATTTAACAAAGTCATATTGATTACTCTTGGTTGGTGTCCTTTTAAATATGTAGAACAAGAAGGAACATTTTTGTTTTATATTATTTCATGTAAAAAATGCTGTTTGAGACAGAAAAAACGTAATGTATGTACAGGGCCGGCTTTAACACTACCAGCGCCCTGGGCGAGATTTCTACGGCGCCCTTCACCTGCAATTCAAACCCATTTGGAAAAAAGAAAAACATCTAATGAAATAACCGTTTATTAAAAAAAAATTATTATAAAAGATAACCATTAATAGAACCACTAATAGAGTTTTACTTTTCTGGCCTTTCTATCAGCAAACTCTTTTATAAGGTTGTCGAAGTCGATGTTTTCAGCAATTTCGTTCTCAATTGACACAGTTGCTAAGTTTGTCAATCTAGATTGCGAAACCGCTGATCGAAGATAGGTTTTTATTAGCTTCAGCTTTGAAAAGCTCCCCACTAGCAACCGTTACAGGTATAGTTAATAAAATTCGCAATGATATCCATACATTTGGATACAGTTCTTGTAAGTTGAAATCGTTGATAAAATTTATAACAAAAATGGGAGTAACCACATTTTTATCAGGTGGGATGCCAGACTTATAAGTTCATCACATAACATACAACCATCTATGTCTGATTTAGAGTCTACAGTTAATTTTAATTGGAGATCTCTACAGAGCTTGAGAAGGTCGCGTTTTTCTGGAATCTGTT